GTAACCCCCGCTATGTTAGTCGACCAGTTAGCTGCTTACGCTTAGCATGAACGATTGCTCGAATTTTCACCCGCCGCGGAGTTTTCCTCCAGGCAGAAAAACTAAAGTAAATGTTGAGGTTTTCCCTCAGTGGTGACTAGCAACTACATTCCGCTGCAGTGTTAGTGTTACACACACACCACAGTGTGAATGTTGAATTGTGTGTCTGGAAGAGGCATTCTCTTGATTGCATACATGTGCTAAAAATTTATTCTCCAAAGAAAATGTTTTTTCTTAGTAGGGTCATGGGTTGCGCTGGGCCTCCCGCACAACCCATCCCAAATGTTTGTTTAGGTAGAGATAAGGTACCTGGCCAGCCGATAGGGGTCATTTCACGCCTCAAAACCACAGTTTAGTCAGTGGGCTTTAGACCTTGATTGAGAGAAGACCTCCTGCTCCGCGAACTTACAATAGAAGAGGGGCCATACAGTCCTACCAGTTCTACGAGTCCGTGTGTTCAAAATCCCGAGATTGTTGTTAAGTCCATGGAAAGTTAACGCATCCTGTAAAGGAAGTGATCACTGGTGAGGGCCTGTTTGCAACAAGAGCACTCCAGGCCGGCCTAATAGATCTAACGATTATATCTCCAGGTTGACAAACTCTCCCTTATAACTTACGGTACTGTTGCGCGAATGTGAGTGACTGACCTGTCCATGCAAATTATAAGTCCAGTGTATGGAATTGTGCCAAATAAACGTAAGTGCAATTATCTGCCCGTATCTGTGACCCCTCTCTTATTATTATTACCAAGGGTAATGACTGATTGGTTATGACAAAGTATAACCAATAACTTAGATGGATGTTGGAAGTTAATGGAATTCATTAAATCATCATTTATCAAGTACACAACGCATTGAATGCCGGAAGCAGAGTGAAATTCCACGTAGTGATACACCATAATCTCCTGGGTGAGTAATCAGTGTGAAGGTATCTGAGTTCTACGGTAAGAAAACCACTTTCTTGCATTTAAAACCTAACATATGTACTTTTCTGTGAGCTGGAACCAATTATCCAATATCACATTAAATAATGGTTGATTAACGAAATTTTGGTTAACAAACGACTGTGTGGAGCGAATTGTGTTAGATTAACAGAGACCACTGTATATTATGCTTTCTCTACCAGTGTCTTTAGTCACTTATATGTAATTTTTTTTACTAAAGTGAGGTGTTCACACCTTAGTGAGTGGTAAGAGTCTGATCTCTCTCCTGTCTCTATGACAAGAGAGAGATGAGGAGCAGACCAGGTGTTATAATTTGGTTGACCTCGTCTGCCCTCCAGAGTGTGGGAAAGGAAACACGTCAGATATACTGTTGTGCTAACATGAGCTGACCTCGCCCAGACCTCGCTCACTCCCTGAAGGATCTACAACCTCAGCCATGTATAATGTCAACAGCTGAGGCACAGTTGAACAACTTGGTGAATAATTTGGTATTATACATTTGGGTGAATATTTATATACAGTATTACCCCGCTTAACGCGCTTTCACTTAACGCGTTTTCGCATATACGCGGTGCCTTGCCAAAGCTGAACTTTCACTTAACGCGGATTTTTCCACAGCAACGCGGTGAGTGTCCAGCTCGAGAGCTATTTTTAGATTCGCACCACCCCCCACCCTCCACCCTGCCTGACTGCCTGTTTTAGCTCATAAAATTCATACAAATTACCCAGCCAGAATATAGTTTACATTGCTGGAATTCTTATAATTTGGTGATCATTTTGAATATAAACAACATATTTTTTGCATTAAACATACAATTTTTAGATAAAATGTTTAATCTGAGTAAGTATGTTATCTTTTGTCAAAAATATATGACATTTATATTCAAAATATTCCTGGTCTTACAAGGAATCCAGCAATGTCAATTATATTATCCTAACTTTAGTTTGAGGTATTATTTATTAAAAAAAAGTTAAGTATTCTGGTTTTCCCACACATCTCCTTGGGACGGTTGGTGAGGGGTGGGGGGGAGGGAGGGACCGACCGACCATCTGTTACCCTGTGAAGAATATATATTTTTTTTATTAACTGAAGACATTTGTTTTGGCTCATAAAATTCATACAAATTACCTGGTCAGAATATAATTTACATTGCTGGAATTCTTATAATTTGATGATCATTTTGAATATAAACATCATATATTTTGCATTAGACATACAAATTATAGATAAAATGTTTAATCTGAGTAAGTATGTTATCTTTTGTGCAAAATATATGACATTTATATTCAAAATATTCCTGGTCTTACAAGGAATCCAGCAATGTCAATTATATTATCCTAACTTTAATCTGAGGTATTATTTATTACTAAATGTTAAAAACTCTTGAATGGAGGATTGGTGGGGGGTGGGGGGAGGGTTGGGACTGACCGCGTGGTTGGAAGAGGGGGGGAGGCAAGGTGGGGTACTTTGATTGACAGATAGTGTTGAAGAATATATTTATTTTTTTATTAACTGTAGATATTTGTTTTAGCTCATAAAATTCATACAAATTATCCGGCCAGAATATAATTTACATTGCTGGAATTCTTATAATTTGGTGATCATTTTGAATATAAACAACATATTTTTTGCATTAAACATACAATTTTTAGATAAAATGTTTAATCTGAGTAAGTATGTTATCTTTTGTGAAAAATATATGACATTTATATTCAAAATATTCCTGGTCTTACAAGGAATCCAGCAATGTCAATTATATTTTCCTAACTTTAGTTTGAGGTTATCCCACACATCTCCTTGGGACGGTTGGTGGGGGGTGGGGGGGGGGAGGGAGGGACCGACCGACCATCTGTTAGCTGGCTGTGTACTGTAGTGTGAGAGGGGGAGGGAGTTGAGTCCATTATTTGAATGGACATTAACTTGGCGACTGTATTTCTCTTAAGTATTAATTGTGTGCATGTACCATCATAAAATTAAGATGTTATTTTTACTACAACATAGTTATTTGTCGTCAAAAAGTGGAGTTTGGGGGTCGGGCTGGGTTCTATTGGAATTAATCCCATATGTTCTGTTATTCACTTAACGCGGTTTTCACTTAATGGGACCCTCTGAGTTCAATTGGACCGCTTAAGTGGGGTACCACTATAATGCAAACGGTGCTGTTATAGATGTCCTACAGGAGAAATGTTGGCTGGCAAGAATCAAGATGTTGCCTCCACAGGAGAAGGCAATAGTCTGCCCTCAGGCTGTGTCTCATCTTGTGGCAGCCCTCATTGTAGTTGAGTTGCCAATTCATTAATATGATTTCTTCATTTAAGCAAATATTTGGAAACTTCTCATTATCTTAAATAACAGTAAATAGTTTATTATTATAAAAATGCTACTTTTGCATTGTTTAATATTTACCCTGACAGTGATACAGCCAAAAATAGATCCACCAATCAGAATCATCATTACATACAGCCTTACTTTACCAGTATTGCCAGGTAAAATTGCGAGTACGAGAGCCAGGGATGGGTCGTTGCATCTTTGGCTGACTGTAAAAAGTCGCCAAATTCAGCCATCGTGTATCACTCAAAGGTAATAAATAACATTGTTAGGAAGGCATTTTCTTATCAAATATTATACAGTGTGTTATAGTGATCCCCATTTCTTAAAATATGCATTTTCTTTTCTTTTTTGTATTTCTGGTGATCTGAGCACCCCAGTCCAAAAAAAGCGAATTCCAATATATTCAAGTCCAATTTATCGAGGTTTTACTGTATTTTAGTATGATCATTACATGGGAGACTCTTGGTTCTCTTATCAAGTGGCTCAAGGTGAAGAAAACAATGTGCTAGAGACGTGCTGTCAAGGCTCTTGGATCCCTCTTTATCCCTTATGTGTTATATGAAATAAATAGAGTGTAAGAAAGATCTTGCCACAACAATGTAATAAACAGGAACACCCACACATGCCTCCGTCCATACACCCACGTAAGCGACCATTAGACTGTTTATAGCACTTGTCAGACCAGAATGGACGCAAATAGTTACAGCCTCAAGGAAAAACAGATGTAGGCCTATATGAGGTGCCATGAGGATAGCTCCACCCATACTGTGGACTAACCAGTCAGTGTACAGAACATAAAAGATATTTGAAATAAACCCTGCTCTGATTTGACACTGAAAATGTCTGTTCGGCAGCGAGTATACAGTGTTAGAAAGACAGACAGTTTAGCTGTCGAAGTGATAGAGTGAGGAGGTTATTGTGGGTGGCCCTGCGAGCATCGTACCGAGGCATAGTAAAGTGTATTTTAATGTTTTTCTGTAGCCGTGTGGGTATATAGCGAGTTCCTTTTTTCCCCAAAAGTATCGAGTTAGAAATAGGATGAATGCATATGACTTCATATCATGCCTTTGCTGAATAAATTTAACTTGGAAGATATCTCTTTCCATTTCCCTTCCTAACTAATACATTAATATAAATAAAGGGGGTCCCCCCAGTAACAGATGGATGGTTACCATAATATAGAGTCAAGTGACCCACCTTTAATTGACTCCAGTGCTGCCCCGGCTGAATAGTGTAGGTAGACCAACAACTTATGTTATAACAAAATCCTTTAGCAAGGCCCTGAAAATTTAAATTATGTTAGACATGCACACCTGTTTAGTTCATTAAAGTTGGGAATGGAATAAGCTTGTTAGATATTATGAGGGCCAGAGAGCACATAAAATTTTTTTTAACAAGTCTAGGAGGAAAATTTAACTTACCCACCAGCCTGGCCATATTTCAAGCTATTACCGTATACAATACTGTGATTGTTTCCTCATTTTTTAGCAGTGAACAAATGCTAAACTTTTCTCTCCCTTCCCATAGGAATATACTGTATGTTGTACTGGTATTAGTATATGAAACAGTGGTAAAATGATACTGAAACAATTTTTTTTCTTTTTTACCTTTAATCACTGTAGAATGACAAATAAAATGTCTCCTTTGCAGTAAAAACTAAAATTAATAAAAACCTCTATAAATATGTTTCATAAGAATCATACTGGTTGTGGGTTAAGATAGTTCTCTTTTCTTATAATTCCTCAGAAAATTTCAGGAAAAAGTTCTAGTTATATGTCATATATCTTGGTGTTGCTGAGAATTTGGCATATGCCTTGATGACTTTGTTGACAGCATCCAAGAAGTCCTTTTCAGTAGCTACCTTCCTGCGAGCACGGATGGCATACATACCTGCTTCTGTACACACTGATCGAATTTCTGCACCTGCAGGGAAAGAAATTGGGTTTAGGTATTATTCAAAATTAAATGTTATCCATCCCTCTTCTTAATTCACTCAACATAATATCTTTTTTATTCTACATACTAACTTTTCTTGCTATACAATCTCATACATATCCACACCACACCACTACTACTACTTTGCTGTCACTCAGAATCGAGTATGACAATAAACCAGCTATGATACAATGATACGAGGTAGTAGGTGGTAGGCAGCTATCAAACAGGAAGGTACTGCCGCCTCGGAAGATATTGGAAGCATAATGAGATATCTAATGGTAGACCCTGCTGCCATATGGCATCACAAAAGTTGAGATGAAGTCCCAGGTTGCTGATCTCACTTTCTGCCTCATTTACACACAATTGCAGGGTCTCAATTGTTTCTCTTACTATTGACAACACAACATACATATATAGTATTGTTTCTTACTTTTTATTTTTTCTTTATTTTTTTCTTTGTGGTTCTTTATTATTTTTATTATTATTATTATTATTATTATTATTATTATTATTATTATTAGAGTGTTGCTATTATTATTGTTATCATTAATATTTTATTATGTTAATTTTAATTGTGTATTTTTTATCAAAAATTTCATTAATATGAATAATTATTATTACAGGTACACCACCGATTTTCCGGGAACGGATGGTCCGGCACCTGTTTTAGTCCGAACAAAATTACGAAAGGGCACTTGAAATTCCCACAACCTCCAGATTAGTTTATTGGGTTGCCACAGATGGCGTTACGTGTTAACTACGCTCACTTAGTTTGTTTACTCTGCAGTTGCTGGTGGTAGCCCCTTGATTTTGTGTGATTCTTAGCTTATTATGCAAATAATTAACCCCACCTATGGCTTCAAAGGAAAGTACAAGTGTCAGTGATGGTGTAAAGCGTAAACACCAGACCATATCGATATACGATAAGGTGGAACTCTTGAGAAAACTTGACCATGGTGTTTCGATGCGAAAGCTGTGTGATCAGTATGGTATTGGTTCGTCAACTGTGTATGATATAAAGAAGCAGAGAAAAAGTAATGAGATTCTATGCAGAAAGTGATTCCAAGAAGCAAATGTGCATTAGAAAAACAATGAAAGAAAAACTCTACAATTTGTCACTCTGGGAGCGGCAATACTGCAACATTCTTTGTAAGTACAGTACAGTCTCTCCTCGACTTATGACATCCCGGACATACGACAGCCATGGTCGTATAAAATATTTTTCACATTACGTATTCTCGAGTCCTGACGTTAGTGACCGCGCTGTGTACTGACAAAATTTTCATTTGTAATCCCATTTAAAATGGCTGGCAAGCTTAAAAGTGAGAGTTCTCGTGATGCTGAGAAGAAAAAGACACACCCATTTTAGAATTTCTATGTATTATTTTCGCCTTTTCGACTTACAACCAATTCGACTTACGACCTGGTCGTCGGGATGGAACCCCGTCGTAAGTCGAGGAGAGACTGTAATTAATAAACCTGCATCTTTTATATAGCCTGAATTTCATTTAATCAACATTTAATATTTGTTTAATTTAAGTTTCTAGCAGCCATGGTGCTTTAAAGATACCGGGAGGTGTATAGCTAGTGGATCAGAGGTGTTGCTTAATTATTATATATGACCTCTGTTAATCCGGCAAAATGGATGGTCCGGCAAGGCTCAGGAACCAAAGGTGCCAGAAAATCGGTGGTGGACCGGTATTATTATTTTTATTATTGTTATTGTTACTGTATTATTATTATTACATCTTTGCCCCCAAGGCCCTGATGTGGGTCAGTAACCTGTGCCCGGGTAGGCTAAAAAAACTGTTAATGTTCCGGAACGTCCATCAAGGGCACCTCGGTTGACATTCCGGAACGAGCGCCTTTTCGAGGCATTGTTTCAATGCCCAGTGTGGGTTATCAGGTTCCAGTGTGACTATTTGATAATAATAATGATAATGATAATAATAATAATAATAATAATAATAATAATAATAATAATAATAATAATAATAATAATAATAATAATAATAATAATAAACGGTTTATTGAAAAAGTTTGCAGCCCGAAGGCTGAAAATATACATTGGATATAAATGACTTATTACATACATTGGTGGTTTAACAAAAGCCTTCATGAGAGAAAGGTGAAGGCATGTCACACCACACTCTCAGCTACAGGGAAGCTTCCTGAATGTAAGTACCTACTTTTGTTTGTTTCATTTTCATTGTTTGTCCATTTCATCATGTTGTATTGTTAAGAGTAGTGTAGTTGCAGTGTAGTATTACTGGAAAATAATCTATGAATATGTTATAAATGTATTTATTTGTGGAATTATTATTCCAATAATTATTTATATGCATTACTTGCTCTACGAAACACAAAGACAGCCAGACAGCCTGGTGACAGACTGCAAGTGTCACTGGGTTATGAAATATAATGCAAATAAAATGTTCTAAATGAATTATTTATTGAAAATAAGTATTATGATCAGTAAATATAAGCATTACTGGTCATCCCGGACACAAAGGCAAGCAGAAAATGGCCGCTAAGTGCGTAGTGACGAGTGCTAGCCGTCAAAACAACACTGTCCCCTTATCTCCCTCGCTACTGCTGCCCCAGGGAAGTTTCTAGAGGGTTAATATATAGTTTTCTTACTTCTTTTTTATTGTTTTATAATTTAAAAAGGTTAAAAATTATTTTTGTTAAAGTTGATTTTTCTCTCTTTACCCCGCGAGGCAGATACGGCCAGCGGCACCTTAGCCTGTGGTGTAGGGGTTAAGGATGTCCCCTTCATTGGTGAGCTCTGAGGTGATCTGAGAGGATGATACGGGACCAGCAGGGTCGTCCACAGATGATGCACATGAGGAGGGCTACATCTAGTGTGGGAGGTGGCGGAAGCATCTTTCCGACACTATTGACACCTTCTCGTGTGGTGCTTCTTCATGCATTATGGTGTGGAGTAATCGTCTCCCAGGTGAGGGGGTCGATTTGGCACTCTTTCAGGTTTGTCTTAAGACTATCCTTATACCTGTTCCGTTGCCCGCCAGCGTTACGTTTACTATACGTTAGGTGACTGTAAAGTAGCTGCTTTGGCAGTTTACTGTCATCAATGAGGGTAACATGACCAGTCCAAATTAGTTGTTCATGGATAATGGTGGCCTCGGTGCTCCTACAGTTGGTGTCAAGCAAGAACATGGGCATTTGTTCCCTTGTCTTCCCAGTGAACTCGGAGGATGGAACGTAGACTATGTTGGTGAAAGTTTTCAACTGCCTTGAGGTGCCTCCTGTATGTGACCCATGTCTTGCTGCCATATAACAAGGTGAGGAGGACCACCGCTTGATATACGTGTAACTTTGTAGATAATTTCAACTCCCTACAGCTGAAGACATGGATATGGATTCTGCCAAAGGTTTGAGATGCACATCTGATCCGATGTTGAATTTCTTCATAAATGTCCGCGATGGTGGACAGGTGGGTGCCAAGATATTGGAGAGGGTAGTATCATGCAGCTGAATGGATGGTGGAGGTGTGGTTGAACCAGGGGTAGGCTGAAAGAGAATCCGAGTCTTACATACATTCACCTAAAGGCCGAAGTGTGCATACGCATATGTGTAGGTGTTCAGGATCTACTGTAGGTCATGTTCAGTGTAAGCGATGAGGGTGAGGTCGTCTGCATACTGAAGTTCAGCAATGGAAGCTGCCGACACCTTTGTTCCCACCTGGAGTCGTCTTATGTTGAAAGTCCCTTCATCCGGTACTGGATGTCCACTCCGCCAGCTAAATTGGCACTGGCACGAGTAAAGAAGGTAGCCAAGAAAATGAAAAAGTTGGTACCAGTACACATTCTTGTTTTACTCCTGATTGGATGGGGAAGAACTCGGACTAGGTGCCATTGAACAGGGCATTGCTGTTCATGTCATCGTGGAGTTGCCTCACAATGGCAATGAATTTTGGTGGGCAGCCAAAACAGCTGAGGGTCTGCCAGAGGGCTTCCCTGTTGACCGAGTAGAAGGCCTTGGTTAAGTCGACGAAGGCCATGTACAAGTCACGACGCTGTTCTCTGCACTTTTCCTGTATCCGGCCGGCAATAAAGATCGTGTCAGTGATGCAACGTGATGTCTAAAGACGCATTGAGATTTTGAGAGAAAGTTTTCCGCCTCAGGAAGAAGTCTGTTTAGGAGGACTCGGGCAATAATCATGCCAGCTATAGGGGCAGCAGCAAAATCCCACGGTAGTTGCCACAGTCTGACCGGTCTCCCTTGTTCTTATAAATATTGACGATGGAAGCGTCTTTAAGAACATGGGGATTTTTTTCCTTTTCCCATATATTCTCCAGGGGAGTAGAGAACAGCTGGTTAGCAGAGGTCCTCCTGATTTATACACCTCGACTGGGATTCCGTCAGGCTTTGTTATTTTTCATCTGCTTGATGGTAGTAGCTAACTCAACCAGGGATGGAGGATAGCTGAGGTGCATCAGCTTGTGGTGCTGAGGGACCTGCTGAGTAGTCAGGACATCCACATCGGTGCTTTGGCTGAGTAGCGAATGGTAGTGCTCTTTACAGCGCTGAAGGACGCCTTATTCGTCTTTAAATATGGAGTTACCGTCGGATGAGCAGAGGGGGGGCTGTGCCACGAGCGATTGGCCCATAAAATATTTTTGTAGAATTGAAAAATTCTCACAACTTGTGTTGATCTGCAAGTTTTTGCACTTCACATGCTTTATATTTTTAACCATTTGTTCTTTAGATTGCAAAGTTCACACTGGGCAGCCGCTTTCTTCTTGTGGATGGTATCAGCTTTGATCCGACACTAAGGGTTGCTCTGCCAGTCAGTTAAAGCAACACGTTTATCATTGATGAGTATGTCCAGTTCCGGATAATTTTCATCAAACTAGTCCTGGTGTATTCTTTTCAACTGGCCGAGGGTCTCTCAGCAGGTTTTTGTCATGACAATGCTGAGAATATCCCATTCAGCACTGGGTTTTGAGTCGTTTGTTGTCGGGTTGTTTATCAACCCATGTTCAAGCTATTCTCTGAAAGCAGATGTTACTGCTGGATCCTCCAGATGCTTAGTGCTAGAACCTCCCCTGGAGGTTTGTTTCCTTCGTTGTTATGAGTGATGAAAACATCTCGCCAATCTCTTTTTCTGACAATGATTTAGTCAATGAGATGCCAGTATTTGAATCGTGGGTGTAACCACAAACCCTTGACCTTGTCAGCCTGCCTAAACAATGTATTGGTGAGTGAGTTTGTGTGCAGCACACTTGCTGAGGAGGAGTAGGCCATTGGGATTACACTTGCCTACTCCGTTTCTCCCTATGGTTCCCTGTCATATGTCAGCATCTCTTCCAACTCTGGCATTGAAGTCACCTAGGAGCACAACCTTATCTTCTCTGATTAATAGCTACTGCACATAGCCTTGTTAATGCCAAATGATACAGAGCTATCCTGAATTTGACAACATTACACAAACTCATACATATCCTTACCTTGATACAGTCACACATTATCACACAAATTAATAAGCTAATAATGCAAAAAAATCACCAATATACAGGTATATCCTTAAATTAAGATCAGTATATATAAAAGGGTGCTTCAAGATATCGATATTCACCTGGAGGTTCTACATCTGTTTATATTTCATGATTAAACAAGTTGTCAGCAAAAATTCCCCATTGCATTTTCCGTGCCACTCTTGTACACAAATTGCTCCCAAGAAACACATTTTTCCCATCATTCCCAAGCACAACCCAAAACTTAAAACACCGTGCTAACTGAAGACTAATTTCAGTGAACTGCCTCTTCCTAGTCTGTTAATAATGTTATAAATATTTGTTTTACCTCACACAAGTACAAAAGAGCCCATGTTTATGTTTAAACACAACATATATCCAAGACAATGAAAATTTTTTACCTGTACTGTTAGGGCACAGCCGTGCAAGTAGATCAAAACGAATGTCACGTTCAACTGACATGGACTTGGCATGAATTTTGAATATGTGTGACCTTCCTTCCAAGTCAGGAAGACCAAATTCTACTTTGCGATCCAAACGACCAGGTCGCATGAGTGCAGGGTCAAGAGTATCTGGACGATTGGTTGCCATCAGAACCTGTTGATAACAAATCAGAAACTTAGTGTCTTCTTAATATACACAAGGTACTACAGGTTGACAATCCCTTATCCGAAATTCCGAAAACCTCTGAAAACCGAAAGTTTTTTTAGTGGAGCGAAAAAGAAAGAAAGAAAGAAAGGAGAAAAAAAAAACACGCACGCACGCACACACACACACAGAGTGAACCCTCGCTTTACGCGGTTTCACTTCTACAGTTTCTACATTTACGCGGTACCCTGCCAGAACCGGAATTCCCACTTTACGCGGTGCATCTACTCATATACGCGGGTGAAGTATAATTTTTTTATTTAGCTCATAAAATTCATACAAATTATCCGGCCAGAATATAATTTACATTGCTGGAATTCTTACAATTTGATGATCATTTTGAATATAAGTGTTAGGTTCTGGATAATAAGTTCAATATACAGGAGAGAACATAAACACCTGTATAGATTTTGTAGGTTCGATTTACTGGATGAGAGATATGTACACAAGGAGAGTAGTGCTCCTCAGCTTGGCTGCTTGTCAACTGTTATAGACGACGTATGGCAAGTGATACATTAGCAGCTTCCATACGTCGCCAGGCACATTAATTAAGCATGTGGGATATGGTAATAACATTGCCACACGCTGCTAGCTAGGCTGAATAAATAATACATGAATGGAGCACATACATAATATACATACATAATATATAATCCAGCATACATAATATACATACACCTCCCTCCCCCCTATACGCTCATAGCAAAGTCTTGAGCGGACCTTTTCTTTTGGATCCGTTCTGAGCGTCGAGGGACTAGATCACTGGGAAGGGTATGGGACTCAACACTGGTGGCGGGGCCAGCAGAAGGCATTGTTACGGGGCGGAGAAAACGGCGGTTCCTCCACCACACACGACCACTGGGTAACCGCACCTGGTAGTCCCGTGACCTACCGAGACCCATGACTACGCCTACTTTGTCCCAACGTAGGGAGGTCGGGTCCTGAACACGGACTTGGGTGCCGACACTCAACCTGGGGAGGGAACGGGCGTGGTCGTTGTAGCGGGCGACGACGTCCTGAACACGTTCGGCGGCTCGGCGATCACAATCCTCTGTCTTGGCCTGCCACTCCTTGGAGAAGGATTGAGGGTGAGCAGGGACACAAGAACGAAGGGGGCGTCCATACAAAACCTGGGCAGGGGAGCGTCCGGTGTAGTTAGGTGTGTTGCGGAGTTCAAGAAGACCCCGGTCGAAGGCCTCGCAGTCAATGTTCCCAGAAGGGGCCACCTTAAGGATGAGGTGCTTCAGGGATTTGACAGCAGCCTCAGCGTGGCCGTTGGACTGCGGGTAATGGGGCGATGACAACACATGCCGGACTCCCCATCGGTCAAGGAACACAGCAAAGTCCCGGCTTGTGAACTGAGGCCCTCCGTCGGTTCGCAGGCGTACAGGAACGCCCACGTCACGGAAGTAGTGGCGGAACTTGCTGATGGTGGCGGCAGACGTCGTGTCATTACCGCACTTGATGACAACCGGCCAACCAGAGAGACGGTCGACGATAACAAGGAAGGACTTTCCTGACACACAGAAAAAGTCGGCCGACACAGACTCAAAGGGGCGGGTGGGGTTGTCGTCACTCATGAAGGGTTCCTGCTGCTGGCTGGGTTGTAATACTTGGCAGGGCTCACACGCACGGACAACATTGGAGATGTCGGAGTTGATGCCGGGCCAGAACACAGTCTGTCGTGCACGTCGTTTGGTGGCCTCAGCTCCACGGTGACTGTCGTGAAGGCGAGCCAAGGCGTGGGGACGTGATGCAGCAGGGACAACTACACGTGCTCCGTACAGAACAAGGTCTCCGTCGCAGTAGAGTTCATCGCGGAGTTTCCAATACGGGAGCAGGGTGTTGTGAAGATCGTAGCGGTTGCTAGGAAATCCATTCCTCACACACTCGACAAGTCGGACGTAGGAAGGGTCATCTCGGGCCGCTGTTCGAAGGTCCTCCATTGCCTTGTCGTCATCTGGTGACAGGTCCGAACGAAGGGATTGGACGGCATGGAGAGTGACCACAGTCCTGACGGAAAGAGCGAGGTCGGCGTCGAGCACATGGTCTTCTGGAGTAGGGCGGCTGACAGGAGAGCGGGATAAGGCATCAGGGATGCAGAGCTCCTTACCAGCACGCCACACTGCTGTGAAGATGTACGCCGAGAGCTTCTCTTTCAGACGCTGGAGGCGAGGGTTCTCAACGGCGTCCAGCATGTAGTGGTTGAGGATCGGAACAAGCTGGCGATGGTCGGTCACTAGGTGAAAGTGTTGCAGGCCTATGAGGTAAAACCTGCCCTTGGACATCGCCCAAACCACAGCCAACAGCTCCAACTCAATAGTGGCGTAGCGCGTCTCGGTGTCAGAAAGGAAACGCGAGCCACACTGGACGAGCCGGAACTGCCCTCCACCATGATCCTGCAGTAGGGCGTATCCCACGCCATACAAGCGTGAGGCATCTGTCTGCAGAACTGTCGGCAAGGCTGGGTCAAACGTGGCGAGGACAGGTGGACGAGACAGGGCCTGTTTCACTTGCTGGAAGGCCTTGTCGTGGTCGGGGGTCCACAGGAATGTCCTCTTGGGGCTCATCAGGGGGCGAAGTGGTTGAGCAGCTGCGGAGATGTCCGACGAAAACTCTGCTAACTGGTTGACGAGACCGATGAAGGACCTCAAGTCGGTAAGGTTAGCAGGGGTGGGAAAATCAGTGATGGCGCGGACCTTTTCCGGGTCAGCTGCGATACCATTCCCTGAGAGGGTGTACCCACAAAAGTCAACTGAAGAGCTAGCCAGAACAAACTTGTCGGCATTTAGGGTAATGCCGTGCTTCCGGCACCTGTTGAGTACCTCGTAGATACGGCAGAGGTGATCCATGTAATCCTCGTCGTACACGAGTATGTCGTCGACCACTTTCACGCAGTTTGCCAGACCTTGTAGAGCCATATCACCTCGAAGACAGAAAGCGTCTCCTGTAGCGGCGAATCCCATGGGGCCACGGCAATAACTGTAACGTCCATGCGGGGTGATGAAAGTTGTGAGTGGTCGGTCTTCTTCGGCAAGCTCTATCTGCCAGTATCCACACAGGGCGTCCATCGTCGTGAAGAAGCGCGCCTTCGGGTTCACACTGCGTATAGCTGTAAAGGGCGTGGGAGAAGGGTGCGCAGGACGAGACACCTGGCTGTTGAGCTTGGAGAGGTCAGTGGTGATCCGAACACCACCTTTAGGTTTTGCGACGACAACCATAGGGTGACACCATGGAGACGGGTCATCGCCGGTTGGTGCAATAATTTCTTGGGTGACCATGGAGTCCAGCTCATTTTTGACCGCCTCGCGGAAGGCCAGGGGAACCAGTCGTGGGGTGTAAATAGCGAAGGGCTTCGCGTCGTCCCTCAGGTGGATCCTCATGGGGGGACCTGCCATCTTCTTGAGAGGCTTGGATTCCAGAGCGGACTTGGTCACCAGAACGTCGCTGAATTCCTTCAGGAAGTACTTCCGAGCATCCGAAGGAGAGGTGTCACTGGCAAGAGGCAGGGGTAGGGCGGCAGCAGGGTCGTTGCTGCTCCCTTTTTGCACCCTGTTGGCGTGTTTTACCTCAAGAATAGGTTTGGGGAAGTCCTGGGAGATGATGGCCAACTCTTGACAATGTCTGTAGGACAGCAAAGGAGTCGGGACACCGTTATGCACATCAATCCAGGCTTGACACGACCTGTTGCCAAAGGTGACTTGTGCTTGGAGTGAACCCAGGGCCGGGGTCATCTGTGAACCATCTGCCATAAAGCGGAGATCCTTGGGGGGCGGTCCTAGATCACTTGGAGAGAGCCCCAAGCATTGCAAATGCTGGGGACCGATGACTGTAGCATCAGCGCCGGTGTCGGGCAACATCTGGAGACGGGATGACACACTGCGGTAGGTCACAATGACACTGATGTACTGGGGAACTTTGGTCCTGGGACGCGGGGGGGAGCACACATTCCTAATATGGCTCGAGCGTTGTCCAGGGTCGTCGTGCTTCTGATTGGAAGACTGTGGGCGGCCCTCTCTGGTGGAAGGGAGCTGAAGCTTCCGCCGACGCTGTCCCTTGGGTTTGTTGGAAGGGCAACACTTGTCATAGTGGCCCAGACGACCGCACACATTGCACTGGACGCGTTTGGCTGGGCACCGTACTGTGAGTGACCAGTGGCCCTTACGGTCACAACTGTTGCATGTAGACTCAGCAGCTGGACACACCTGTGTTCCGTGCTGCTTACCACAGTTGTTACAAAATGAACCGGGCGTGGACGTGGTGGGCGAAGGCGTAGGAGCAGACTTCTTGTCCTTCTTGTACCGGGACACAGCGCGTACAGCTGTATGGGGAGCTCGGATGGCAGAGGTGGCACACCTGGCAGCCTCATAGGAGCGACATATCGTCAACACATCCTTGAGAGAAGAGGAAGAGTCGAGGGAGGTGAGGCGTTGGACAAGTTCCTCGTCCTTAACACCCATCAAGATCACCTGCTTCAACTGGGTCTCCTCGCACTGCTGGTGGTGGCCTAGACATATATCTACCTCTTCCGAGGCTCTCTTAAGTCGTACATAAAAGGCGTCAAAAGACTCACCCACCATCTGTCTGCAGCTAAACAATTCCCTCCTGCGCAGAGCTTCATTCTGCTGTCCTTTGATGTGCCGTTGTAGAATGTCCAGTACCTCCTCTACAGACAGCGAAGAGGTCGGAGGTACCTGCAACGTATGTTCTAAGACACGCTGAATTTCCAAGGACAGGCACATACGCAGCTGGATGAGTTGTTTAGGCTGTGACAAACTCTGGAGATCCACCATTGTAGAATAATCAGTCCACCGTCGCCGCCATTCACGAAAAGTCTGGAAATTCACATCAGGCTTCAAGATGGGCGGTGTTTGAGCTGCTGCTTTAGGTGGGGCTGGGGGGCGTGAAGGAAGCATTGATGAGGTATCTGAACCAGTCAGTACCGAGGC